GGCAACTAACTGTCACCGTTTTACTGTTTAACTAAGTAGATGCAATCATCACTTCTTTTCTAACACTTTCTTTTCTTGCACTTCTCGCCTATGGATCTCCCTTCCAATTTCTTGCTTCCCTGCCAACTACGACCTTAAAAAAATTTAAAAGCAACGTCAATCGCCATCTTGTTCTTTTATTGTCATTTCCTCACTTCTACTCACCAAAGTCTTCTCATTCTTTTCCGCTCCTTGTAACTCATTGTGTCCTACTGGTATTATCGCCTTGCTTGGGTGAAAAGATTAAAAAAAAAACTCTCTCAATCTCTCTCTCTCATACAAACTTGTTAACAAATTATAACCCATTATTATTTTTCCTATCTGTTGTTTTTTATCACATTATTAAGGAAAAAATGAAAGTAACCTCCAATTATATTCCGACTGTTTGCTTATATATATATATATATATATATATATATATATATATATATATATATATATATATATATTGCCCGGTTAATTTAATTATTTAATACCTGGAAGAGGCAGTTGAAATTTCTGGGCACGTAATAAGGAAGGAGGGATTGGAAAATTTGATACTCACAGGACAGATTGAGGGAAACAGAGACAGAGAAAAGCAGCGCGTAACATATTTCATCCTCCTCATCATCATCATCATCATCATCCTCTTGACTTTTGTAAACGTAGGGGAAGATCCTAATGCAGAGGCCATATTGAATATCCTTTCCTACGTCCACATTCAACGGTGCTCTGCATGATGGTCTTGCACAGGCTGTTGTGCCTTGTAACGTGTCCAAACCATGCCATATTTCTCCGTTTGACAGTATCCAGAAGAGGTTCCTGGTGGCCCATAAAACTTTCAATCCTTTCCTGCACAAACTCATTGTTTTTTTTTCCAATAGAAAATGCCAAGGAGTTTTTCTCACAGGATTCCCATGCAAAGTATAGTATGGAATTATTGCGTAACTCGCAGATTATATATAATTGTGATTGATTTTAGTTTGAATCGAGCAGTACTTTGTAATGGCAGACATATTTTACGAATATAATTACTTTTTCTAATGCAACTCTAGTTTGGTTAAAATAAATCCTCTTGGTTGTCCACTTTCCTGTGTATGTCATTCCTTGTGATGACATCATCATCAACATCTCCTTGACTTTTGTAAACGTAGGGGAAGATCCGAATGCAGAGGCCATACTGAATATCCTCCACAACGGTCTATCAACGGCAGCCATCAGCAATTCTGGTATAGCCATCTTTGTTTGACATTGTCCAATCAGTTTTTTGCATTGGCGTCCTCTCCTCCATCCACATTCAACGGTGCCTTGCATGATGGTCTTGCACAGGCTGCCGTGCCTTGTGACATGTTCAAACCACGCCATTTTTCTCCGTTTGACAATGGTGAGAAGAAATTCCTTAATAGGCAAATAGATAGTAGAACAGGGTTTGGGAGAAATAGCAAAAAGACAAAATTATTAAGAGCTACAAGGGACAGGAAGATGTGGAGGGGCATGATCATTTAAGCCCTGAGGGGACACAGCACATAAAAGAGGAAGTATTTTTCAACTTACTGTATGCTCGTTAATTTCTTTCAAATGAATTTTGCTTCGAACAAGATACCAAGTTACAATAACAGCCTTGTCAGCTATAAAATTATTTGCGCCGACTATCGACTCTTGAATCATAAGAGTCAAATTCTTTAAGAGTTCAGATTTAGAGGAGAGCATCCGGTAATATATTGCGTCTTTGTCGCTTGTCGTCTCGCCTACATAGAGAGCCTCAAAGTAGAGAGGTGCCAAAAACGGTACGTCATGTTCGGGAACATCCTTTCCCCATTGGACATATTGAAATACTGAGCTCGTGAAGCCGAGGTAACCGTGCGGAGTCAACTGAAAAACAAAAAGATTGAAAAAATGTATGTTAAAAAGATTAGACAAATCTACTGATTTTAATAGACAGGCATCTGCCGGATGTAACAGCAAAATTGTCCAAATCGTGTAACAACACAAATTGTCCAATTGTTAGATTAAACTTTGAACCGTTGTGTCCTAGCAATGATTAAAGATATTTTACTGCTTTTATAACACTATTGGACTCTACTTTTAACAATAAAAATGTATTTAGCTCTAAGTTGAAATGATAATCTCACTTGCTGTTGTGATCCAGTTGTTCTCTCTATTGTTCCCTTTTTAAAAACTTATTCACCATTCTCTTCATGGTTCTTGAATGGACTTTGAAGACAGAAGCCAGAGTATGAGTGTTGGTACAATTACTGAAAGTCTGAATGATTTTTTCCTCTCACCATTGCCCAGTTGGGAAGATATAGTGGTGCTGACATAAAACGATTTAACCTGTTCTCTTTCTAACTGAATAACTCAAAGGGTTTTCTAAAGATTCTCACGATAAATGGTGTCAAGATGGCTAAGCGTCTTATCTGAACACCTGGAAAGAAGAAGCTCAATTAGTCTAGCGTTTTTTTAGATATTAAACATTTTTCGGTTGGACAATTATCCCATGCTGTTACACGATTTGGATAATTTTACTGTTACAGCTGGTATATTTTAGAAATTTTGGTGGTCGTTTCATATACGGCATGTTATATCATCATTTATAATTTTTGATAGATTTGCAAAATATACTGTTAAAAATGTCAACATTACTTTCTTTTACACGTAATTTGCTTCCCATTACTCTGAAGCTGTAACGTAAATGCGAAAGTAACAGAAAATAGCTTTATTTGAGTAAGCAATTTGATTTTAAAAGTCATCAACAAAACAATCTTTAAAAAAAAAATAAAGAACATAAAAACCAGATTGGGGCATTCCTACGTGGAGTAATGGTTAACACGCTTGTCTTGCTAGATCAGTTACTACTGAATAGTAATTTCGATCATCACTGGGTGTTTCATATTTTCGGCCTTGTGCCACATCTAAGCCACGTTAAGAAAATCATTTGGAGCACCTTGACGTGGTGTAATGGATAGCAGACTTGCCTCACTATATCAATTACGACTGAGTAGGGAGTTTCATCCTCACCGGGTGCCCCATATCTTCAGCCTTGTGCCACAACTAAGCTACGCTTAGAAAATCATTTGGTTCACCTCGACGTGGTGTAGTGGTTAGCAAGTTTGTCTCGCTAGAACAATTACTAGTGAGTTCAATCCTTAATGGGTGCCCCATTTTTTTCAGCCTTGTGCCACATGAAAGTTACGCTTAGAAACTATAAAAACAAGATTAGAAGTGGATAACAGAAAATAATCCAGCACTCGTCTTTTTAGCATTTGGGTTAACTTTCTTTTCCGAAATGTTTGTTCTGAGCTTAGCCGGTCATATGATTCTCAACGACCAATCAACGAAACACCTTCTGGGTCAGTTTTCTGGTAGTCGCCGATAAAATGCGCTACAAGACCTATGGGTATATACAGCATCTTGTAACATGAGGTGTCGGACTTGTGAGTCAAGACAGATTTGGGACTAGCTTTCCTTTTCAAAGTCGAGAGAAGGTATACTTTGTAAGCATGTCCTCTTTCTAGAAAATAAAAAACATTTACATTCTTCCGATTTCTTCCTATATGTCTTTATATTTTTATTGCTATAAATGTTTCGGTCATTATCTGCTTACCACGGCCAGTACTACCAAAATGGTGATTAGGCGATTCTCGGGAAAATCGAGCCTCTGAAACTGCGTCACTGTTCAGACATATTTTAGATCATGTTTCTGTAATACCAGTTCAAAAAGTCAAATCTAGCATTAAGTGACATAGTATTTGTCCATAGTATGTGGCTAGCCGCTCGTATCCGGTACATTTTTTGTTTGTTCACTTAAAAGAGCTCACCTGTGGTTTAAGTGCAACTATGTTGAACAGACCTTAGTTACAGTTTCTGGGAGAGAGATCGCAATATCTGGCGTGATCAGTCTTAACATGCCAGTACATTTAACCCTCGGTCACAATGACTTAAGACTACGTACTAGTTCTCAATTTCATGGTATGGTTTTCAGGCACTTTCCAAAGGTGGGATCACTTTCCCTGGGTAGATAACATCAAGAATTCACCTTCTTGATAAGTCAACCATGATGAGATCTGAACCGCGTCGGAAATCGAACGTTCTAATCACTTGGCCATTTGTGCATGGAATGCATCAAGGAATATCAGATGTCAAAAATATTAAAATTTGTATTATTTATCATTTTTCTTTATTTATAAAATCTAAAAACACAATATTATTTTTTTTTTTATAGTTTTGTACTTAAAGCGAAAACATGCATAAAAATTATTCTCTTAAAAATGAGTTTTCTCGTTTTGTACCGGTTTTGGCACGCACGTTCGTGCCACTTCCCCCCCTCTAATTAACCAAAATTATGACAGTTGTTTAAAAAAATCGTCTGTTCGAAAGCTTAAAAGGACATTGATATATTTACATAAAGAAGTGGTAATAAAATAAGCCCATCTCATCTCCTCTTCCACTTGTAACCATTCATCATAATAAAATAAACTTTCTCAGCGCTAAAGCTGAATTAGTCAAATAAATCTTCATAAGTATCTACTTAGAATTGTTACTATATTACAATAATAAAAACATTGGAGACTTTGGCGACTGTTACATGTACAGTTAGGTGAGTCGAATATTTAAGGGGACAAATAACTCTTGAACAAGTATTTTCGTTCCTTCTGCCCATGTCAGTCAGTTTACCGAACATAATGACTGAAAATGTAAGGACAAGTAAATATAAAAACGGCAAAAGTCTTGCTTGGAGGCTGAAAAGTTGTGTTTTCAGAACAGAGTCGATGTTTGAGACCAAATAAAAGCAACGATTTTACAATCTGGTCTTCAAGGGAGATAAGTTAGTTCCTCACGCTTTAAAAAATTGGCTCAACTATTTTCCTATATTGTTCTTGGTCAGACTAAACTAAGTTTTGTGGTAAATTTAGCGACTCCCCAAATTGAATCGTGGCAGATAAACAAAGACGAGACAATTGAACAGTTGAAACGGCTCACTTTATATAACAAATACATTATACAACAAGAATAAGAATAGAGAATTGCTAAAACGTATTCCTTTTTAGCAGTTAAAGTCATGGCATTGAGGACGAAATCCAAATACACGTATCTATTTGAAATTGATTGAAACACTAATCTGATGCTGCTCACATTCTTCTTCCAATGGCTGCTTGTCCTTGGATTATTCAGGTTTGTTCGTGGCCAGCATCACTTGTTTACAGAGTAGGCCAAAACACATCCGTTCAGTTCACTCGTCTTGAAGCCTCGCCACTTTGGTGCCTAAATTCCATTTGGCACCTAAATTTGGTTCTTACCCATTATTAGCTGATAAATGGACCTATCTCTCTATCAGCGGGTCTTATCAACTAAGTGGGGGATAACCTATATTTATTAGTGTTTTTTTTTAAACGTCTATAAAAGTAAATTAACGAGCTGCACATTTTTTAAAGAGGAAAATGAGACTTACGTGGAGTACTTTGTATTCGTACCCAGCGAATTGAATTGGATAAGGCAACGTTAAAGAAAACTCATTTATATCATGATGAACATAGCTATCATCATTCTTCTCCCCAAAAGGAAACAGAGCGCTTTCTCGGCCACAGGTCACTGGAAAAAATATGCACAAAATAAAAGAAAAAGCAAAGTGAAGAAAATATTAACTTTAAATAAACTGATTATCAAAGCTACCTTATGAAAATTTTAACTCCCTACCAAATGAAAATACTTGTGCCAAACACAAAAAAATTAGTTAGTAGAAATAGAAAGTTAAATAAGGTGCACGCAAAATTTTAAAGAACAAACATTTATAACAGTATACAGAAAAAGGAAAAAATATGTAATATTTTAAGAAAATAAAAATAAAATAATTTAAAAAATATGTAATATTTTTAAGAAAATAAAGGAAATGACCAGTCTAGAGTTCTCTTTTACAGCATTGTTGTAACCAGTATGTAACGTGTCCTCTGATTAGTCAATAGACGAGCCAATGACAACCCACTTTGGCGGACAATTTAGAAACTCTCTCTCTCTCTCTCTTTTGGAAGACTGACGCCGGAGCAGTAAAAATGTATGGAGCTGCTTTCTGACCAACAGCAATGTGGAAAAGTCTACCATTGAAATATCTCTAATTCTAAGTCATATATTTGAATTTGACATTTCATGTTTCTCTTTCGCCCGTTGTTAGTAGGGACTTACATCGTGTATAATTGTACGGTGTCCACAACAAATACAAAAATTTACTTATAAGACTCTTCACAAAAAACATTTTTTTAACCGCTGAACCTAAAAAGATTTTTAAGCATTTCAAGCAAGGCGGGATGCTACTAGCATGCAAGGGGTTACAGAGAGTGGGAGCGAGAGTAAAGAGGCGTGATAGAGGAAAGGATGAAGGAATGGATCAAGACATCTGACATTACATTTGAACAGTTGGAGATTATAGCTATCAGGGAAACAAGTAATAGGAAGGGAATTCCACAGACGGGAGGTGCGAGACATGAAGCTATTGGAGTAGAAGAGACGGTCATATTTAACCGTTTCGTCAGTGAAAAGGTGAAAGCGAGATGTCGGCCTAGTAGCACTTTTAATTTCATGCAGTCTGGGAACTAGCGAAAGTAGCTCGTCGGAGCAGTTACCGTGAAAGTATTTGTAGAAAAGACAGAGGGAGGCGACGGCACGTCTGTGTAAGTGAGATGCCAGATCAGGGCCAACCACATTGCATTTTGTCTCTGGATTTTGTCGAGGACCTTAAGACGAACAGCGGGGGGGGGGGGTACCAGAGCATATATGGCAACAGTATTCCATGCAATTCATGTATGACAATTTTTACACAAACCGTCTGGTCTTCTTAGTATACACGTCTCTCAAAAGAACGTTTACAAAATAAAACAACCTAGATGATTAAACACCAAAGATTAACACTAACAGTAATAAAAAATAAAATGTTTATAAACTTTCATTACTGAACGCAAACGAGTGACTTCCAGCGCTGGTCATTAAGCATTGGTTAGCACAGTGTCTCTCAACCTATTTTGGCTGATGTACTTTTTTCACTATTAGTCAGGATGTCATCCACCCACTTCCAAATAATATGCATATATTATAGAAAATCTTCATTCTTTTCTCTATTTGTACATATACATTTACATGGATTATTTTTGTAAAGGCAAAAAAAAAAAAAAAAAAAAACAACCAAAAACAAGAGCTTGCGTGACCTCTCAGTTGTGCGAACCGATGCACATTACGGGGTGTGCCACCTTGGGGAGTTCGAAAGTTAATATTTTGAGTTTAACAAACTGTGCCCCCCCCCCGGAAACCCTGTAATTCCCATGTAGGTTGAGAACGTTTGGGTTAGCATGTTTATTTTACAGGATAATGTCTGTAGTTTTGATCCTCACTCCTTCAGAGACCCACTATTATGACAATGTGTTTGACTAAGCAACGTTTACTAACTATCCACAAAAATGTGATATTTTCCAGCTACCGCTAATTACTTTTAAGTAAATAATACTTCTGTGGACGAAAGGATTATGTAACACCTTAGACAAAGCCCAAACTTTAAACAAAAAAAAAAAAAAAAAAATAATTTAAAAAAAATAAATGAATAAAATATGAATGTACATATAAAGTAAAATGTAATAATAATAATAATAATAATAACAAATAATTAAGTAATCAATAATTAGTAGAATTTAACAAACAACGCTACAAAATAGCTACAAATAATCGCATTCGGCTGATTTATACTCAATAGCTTCTAAAATAAATGAAATAACCGTTACAGCCAAGCCAGTAGCCGTCAAGATTATAAAATAAACCTTACTAATGCACTACTGACTGGTATATATAATCGAACAAAAACACAACAAATATGGCCTGAAGATTACGTTGAGGGATGCAACAGGTTGTCGCCGCTTGGTGTTGACCTTACGCCCATTTATATATATATATATATATGTGTGTGTGTATTATTGAAAAGAATAAATATTTTATGTCTATTATATTTATTGATGTTTTTGTGAATATGATTTTGTAAATGTCGCTATTTTAGATGTAAAAAGATAATCAAAATTTATATTTGGTCCAAGCTTTCAACTAACATAATTCGTCGTCATGGGTAGGATCAAAGAGATGAAAAGAAAAACAAATGCATTTTAAACAGCACATTGTTTAAAATAACTTTGTATGTATAAATATATAAGAATACTTATTCACACACAGACATTCTGTGTGCGTGTCTGTAGATGATGAAAGATGAATAAGTTCACAAGCTATATAGTCAACACAACTATTTTGTTTGGAAATTTTCACTGATTTGCGTTCCGAACACAAGGAACGATGAGGAGTTTTAACAAGCTCCAAAAAAAAAAAAAATGATTAAATAAATAAATAAATACAAAAAAAATAATAACGGATTTTCATGTTAAAAATACAGTGTAACCCGGATATAAGAGACCCGGATATAAGAGAAACCCGGATATAAGAGAAACCCGGATATAAGAGAAACCCGGATATAAGAGACTTCTTCTCCGGTCCCGACAACTCTCTTATATCCGGGTTACACTGTATTGCTGAAAAGTAATATTATACGTGAATATAATTTGCAATTATTATTTATTTTAATTATTATATATAAGACAATTAGGGCACCCCAAGGCGGTGTAATGGTTAGCAAGCTTGTTCTTGCTAGAATAATTATGACTGAGTAGTCAGTTCGATCCTTACTGGGTACCCGGTCCTTTCAGGCTTGTGCTACATCTAAGCTACGCTTGGAAAATCACTATATAATATTGTTATTGCTTGAAGTTAGAAACGTATTTTTTATAGTAATTTCTTCTTTTTCCACAGTTACCGTGTTTTTCAGTATTAGTATTTATTTGTTTTTATACAACTAACCTGAAGATCATTTGTTTTATTGTTACTTTCACTGTATAATTCTCAATAAAAAAAAAAACAAAAACAAAAAAAACAAAAAAACTCCTGGATGTTATCCTGTTATTTGCTATCAGAACAACGCCCAGGCTTTTGAAAGAAGCAATTTGCCATTATTTAATTTTATGTTTGGAGAGCATTTTAAAAATGATTTTGTTCTCTTGTTTATCTTAATTTCTACTTTTTTGTGCTCTACATTTGCTTTCTGTTATCAGTAATGGCCACAGATTAGAAATAACGCCATGTTTTTTGCCCACACCACTGTAGTTTCTATTATGCTTAAAACTTCGACATTTGTCGATGGTATTCTCAGCAGTCATCGGTAGAATTTCTTAATTGTGCCATCAACGTAGTTGGTCATGTTTCTCCACTATTTCCTGTCCTTTATATTTCTTAATAAATGTTGCCTTTTTGTTATCTCCTCTCAACCTTGCTTGACTTCCATTTACTCAAGCTAGGTTTTTTTCTTTTTTTTCCCTTTCTCTTTAATCGATTTCACCCTATGGAAGGCCGTAAATCCACTAAGACACAAGGGGGTTACAGGGTGTGGAAGAATTAAGAACAGAAACATTAATAATGAGCAGAAAGAGAAAATGATAATCAGGAGGACAGTTATTCCGATTATAAATCATGTCATCTTTCTAGTTTTCTATTTTCATGTAATCAGTCCACTTGTTCTCTATCCACATGCAAACTGTTCCCAATGATGATTACGGATTAACTGAATATTCTTTCCGTGTAGCTCAAGGTTTTCTATAATTTCAAAGTGTTCTTCGTCTCGTACTTTATCAAATACCTTTGTGTAATCTATGAAACATGAATGTATCTTTTTGCTTCTGTAGTTTTTGCTCTGATAGCACTCTAATCATAAAAATTGCATTTATTGTTCCAGTGTCTTGAACAATGACGCATTGTTCTTCTGCTACAAACTCTATTCATTACAGTCCTTCTCATTAGTTATGTGGTTCATTAAACTGGTTTCTTTGGCAACTCTATGAAGATTGGTTTATTGAATTCCTCTTGTATTTCGCCACTGTCACTTCGGTAATCTTATCAATCCCAAATTAGTTTAAAGCTGCCAGCGTCATTATTAACATTTCGTCTGGTCATACTGTTTTTCTTTATGTTATTCAGTGCTGACCTAACATCAGATAAAAGTACTATGGCTCCTCCTTTGTTTTCATAGATTCTATTTTTCCCTCTGTTATTATGAAAGAGCTCTACTGTGTATTCATTACATAACTGTGGCACCTTTTTTTCCCCATTATATTTTATAAATTCTACCGAATAATACACTTTCTGTGTTGCGAGAGCATTATATTTCGGACGCATACTCGCTACATTTGTGTTGTGCTGTAGTTTTTCACTCTTGGGACATTTTTCATTTCCTCTTTTGCTTGTTTGTTCTTATTTCTGGTGGTTTTGTTCGATTTCTTTTTCTTTCTTTCTTTCTTTCTTTCTTTCTTTCTTTCTTTCTTTCTTTCTTTCTTTCCACCTCTCTCTCCTCACTCTGCGTCGTAATAAAGCGATGTTTCTCACCAAACAAGTAAACTTGTAGATAACTCACTGTTGAGGCGTGGAAGTTTCTTTTACAACTGAGTCTTGTTAAAGATATTAAGAATATGTCACACAACGCAAATACACATACCTGTGCGACATAATCATAGCATCATAAAGGT